TATAAATACAGTCATCCCCCCTATAATGCGGTACCCTTACAACTCGTTTTCATATTACGCGATTTCAGTCCCCGGTATCCCCCGGATTTGTACAGTTCATAATTAGCTTCGCATAGCTTTGCACGTGTGTATACAGGGTATAAGGGAATACCGCTATAACGCAATAGATTGGTTCCGCGTTATAGGAGAAATTATTGTAAATATCTTAAGAATTAAGTAAAATACCTATATAAGTTAAATACAAACGTGTTTATTGAGTAGTTAAAAATATACAATTTATTTAAAATACCTTTATCATTGTTAAGGTTAGGTTAGGTTATACAGCCGATTTCTATGGAATCCACTAAGGCCTATTCGCCCATTGTGTTACCGTATAAAGAGAAAGAGTTTTAAAAAAACAAAGTTGTCAGATCCATTTAAATAATTTAAAATTATTGAACTTCAATGAAAAACAAATATATAAACGCCGTATACTTTTCGCCCAACTCATTTATATAAAACGTACAAGCATATGCATAATAAAAATAAATTAATCAAGCTAATAAAATTTATTTATTTCAAATAATATTAAATTTAATTGGAAATTTAATAGCAAACTATTTAACACAATAAGTATTAAATAAAACAAATACATAATTTTAAAATTAAAACAAAATTAAACATAATAAAATACTTTACCAATTAGCTTATAACATATATTAATAAAGTTTAGTAGAATTCACTAATTAGAGAAGGCACAATTGTATAAAATTAAAATATTTTTTCAACAATAAAATAAAAATGTTTTATAAATAAATTTTAATAGGAAATGACTATATTTATTAAATATTTTCTCCATTTAATTGCTGAATTTTTTATAGAAAAACTTGGTGGCCGATTAAGGCTAATTTGGGCTGACAAGTCCCCGTGACAGTTGCAGTTGCAATAAAAGTTGCACAAACAGCATTTTCAACTTTAAATTTATACAAAAAAAAAATTAAAATAAAGTAAAATAGCTAAAAAGAAACCGATTTATCTGTTACATAGCAGAGCTAAATTTAGTCGTTCGTAACTTTGACTCCTCAGTAGATTTTTTTCGCTCTCATCAAACTTAATTAAGCACAAACTAAATATAAACTTTTGCAGGTGTAATTTTTGGCATTTAACTCTTAAATAAAAAGAAGCATATTTCAGACATAGAGAAGGATTAAAAATGACGTTAAAGTATTTTTCAGAATTTTTTCACAGTATCTAGAATTGAAGGCGCAACCTAATTAATTTAATGAAGTCATTAAAAAATTGTTCGTATTCCGCTTTGAAAAAGAAAATAAAGTATTTAAGGAAAAATGCTTTCAACTTTTTGTGTGACAAAGAATTTTTAAAATTAATTATTAATCTGCTGACTTATTAAAAAATATGTACTTTTTAAATACTTAACGAAGTGATAATTAATACAATATAAAATATATATATAATTTTCAAGGCAGTTGAAGCTTTTTGTTGACAGTTACCAAGCCGTACAAATTTCTTATGTTCATAATTATAATCACAATTAATTAGTATAAACATGGAAGTATGTAATAATAATCTATTTTAAGACAGAGATACTTGTTCCTATAGGCTTTTTATGCTCTCCTCATAATTGCATTCAATTAGCGTCGTAATAGTCATTATTGCATTAGGCATGAGACACTAACGGTAGGTGCAATAGTGCAATTAAAGTAATTAATTCAGATTTTTTTACGTTTATAATTGTAATAGCCACACTTGCGGCAATTAAAGTGTTCACACTAGAGAAAAGTTAAGTTATTATAAACACAAAATTTACTTATTGGAAAAATGTTGAAAAAATATTTTATTATTGAAAAATAAATATTAAAAAATAAATATTAAATATTTTAATATTTATTTACATATTAATATTTTTTTTATCAATCAATATTATATTTATATTTATACTTAATTGCTTTATCTTTGAACTTTGAAATTTACGTGGTTTTAGCGTGAAGTTAACTTGAGTTGAAAAGCAGTTCTATTCAATAATTTGTGGTTTGTTAGATTGCAAGGTGCATCGTACATGCAGGTAAACTTCTATATTAGAGATAAAAATCTATCCTTGGGCTGTGCAGCACCTGTTATTGGATTTTGCTGTCTGTACTGATGTTTCGAGTTTGATTTCAGTTGCCTTGCCACTTTAAATTGCTGTAATTGTAATCATGCCTTGCGGTTCCTGACATTTGATGTGCTGCTTTGCAATAGAATTTTTATTCAAATACATTTTCTATTCAATTTAAATTTGTATATGTTGGGTTCTTTGTTGGATTTTGTTGCAACTGCTGGTTCCACAATGTTAATTAGCCTACTATGTGGCTTCTAATTAAATTGATTTTAAAGTTTATCCGTACCACAAATCAGCATCGCAACTTTGTTCAATTGCTGCGGTGAGGATGCAATGGCAAAAGTGTTAAAATTAGTAAACTTCAGGAAAATTAGATTACGTGTTTAGAATTTTGTTGTTATAATTTGTAAAGAAAATATTTTGTTGGTTTTTAATTATAATTTAGTTAAAAAAATTATATAAAAATGTATTAATATTTAGTTATTATTATTTAATCCATACTCCTTTTTACATATTAATTATTTCTATGTAAATTTTTAATATTTAGATATTATTAATTGATCCATGCTCTTATTAGAAGCTTCTTATAAATACATTTTTGCTATATGTCACTGACCTTAGTTCATCAAATGATTTACTCTCTGCGTTTTGAAACGTTCTGCTTTGAGGCATCCGAGTTGTTTCCGTATCCGACTAACCTGCAAAATCCATTAGTGGTTTATATCAATAATCATATACTTGCTAATTATAATCTGGAATATAAATCTTAGTACAAAATTTTAGAGTAATTATTTATTGAATGTATTTGGCTTGATTGAATTAAAATAATAATTCAATTAAAAATATTTCACTTAAATCATAGACATTGAAAAATATACACACTATTAAAATATTGTGGTATAAGTCGATATATTATTATAAGTAGCCGTATAAGATGATCAGCAACCGCTATAAATCTATTATGTCCAATATCATAACATCATAGAAATTTGTTGAGTTCAGTCGTAGCATTGTCAAGATCTGATTAGTATATACTACGGTATTTTGGAATAAGTTAGTACATAATGTGATACTAAATAAAACCATAAAATAAATATACACATAAAGATACCTACTTTAAGTATAAAGCAGTGGTTTCCAACCAGTATGGATACATTGCTTGTAGTTGGTTGCCTAAGACCTTACTTAGAAAATAAGCACAAAAAAATTTCCAACTATTATATACATATTTTCTAGCCCATATAATGTACCTATGCACTTATACACTTGATTATATATCTTCTAGAGATGCATAAAGCATATTAAAACAGTCAAAAATAAACTTTGTGGTCCATATTAAAAACAAAAATATCATAGAGGTTCTTGGTCAAAAAAAGGTTGAAAACCACTGGTAAAAAATCTAGCCGTTTCGCATATGATACTTTGAAACTGGATCTGATCATGACATCTGATCAAAAAAGATTTTAAATGTTATTATCTAGATACATTTCAGATTGTGCCGCGAATAAATTTTTGATTGGGAGGAATGCACAGGCAGACGAAGGAGATAACATATACAAGTATCAACATTGTCACCCATCTGGAATTCATAGCCATAAGTTTCCATTCTTTTTCTCTCTTTAACCTTAGTGTACAAATAATCATTGACAAATAAATATATTTTAAATATTTGTCTACCAATTTAATGAAAATATTTTAAAGCAATCTTACAAATGAAAATTTTCTATATAAATCCTTTAAAAGATTTCCATTATTAGAAATTTGTTTTTAGTAAGTATTTACTAAAATTTTAGTAAATCTTTTCATGTACAGAAATTTCATTTTATTTCACAATAATAACAATTATCAATGGTCAAAGTAGACATTTTTCTTTTCCACAAAAGAGAATTGCATTCCAAACTGAAAGGAGTTTCAATATTGTAGAAGTCCTTAAAATTGTTTAACAATAAAATTACAAATAAATATTTCTTCTTTTATTGAATTTACTCGTTTGAAAGTAATTTCTGTAGTTATGTGGAGTTCAATTGGCATTTGTATCGCATTTATGCTGAAGTTATTTTGTTGAGTTTTCCATTTTGCGGTTTTATCTGGAATTTTAAATAAATATCTGCGTTAGAGAGTTTATTAAAACTTAATATAAAAACCACATACTGGACTGTTAAGTGGAGTAACTTTACAATCCTTTGTGCACCGCATTTCTATTTTTATGGCAGAGTTTAGTATCTTTTTTTACAGTGCCAACCAAATATATTAGATATAAATTAGACAAAGTTTATAAAAAAAAAATAGGAAAGAATTTTAGTGAAAATGGAAAGATTAATTTATTAGTGTAAAA